GCCCCCCCCCCCCCCGGTATTACTCCTGTGTAAACGCGTATGTGTTTAATGTACTTAGGTCCGACCGGATGGAATCCGGTCACGGTGTTTTAACGATCTACGAGCGAGTAATTCTCTCTCTTTCTCCACTTGAATTACGACTGGCCGTCTTACGGCGTGTAACTAATTTGTCTGATGTACATGCAATAGAATTTTATGTTATCCGATTCAATCACGACGACGTTCTTTTCATCATCAAAAGTGTATCTAACATTTATTTTTAATTGATATCGTGTTACGCAGCAGCAATCATAAACGGACTATAAAAGCCACTGATTTTTTAAACAATTATAGAATTTAAAAACCATAAATAAAAGAGAACAATTGCATAGTTATTTTAGAGGTGTCGTTTAGATGACATGTGCTAAGAATTGTACTCAAAGGAGAAATTACAGAAACGAAAATTACAGCGGTAATTACTTATAATTTTTAATAGTAAATTTGAAGTATGCGATATTTGTAAAAAAAATTAATAGCCGAACATAATATACAAAGCGTAGAGAGTAGAAAAAAAAAAATCATTAAAATCAATTGACAAAAACCAAACAATAATGTGTTAGGCAACAGAAAATAAAATTATACAAAAACACCATTGTGCGATAGGTGTATACTACATAAAAATTTAATAATAACTTTGATTGGTTTATATTCGACTATTAATATAAATCGGTAGATTTAGATACATAAAAAATAATTAATGCTCTCAATAATTAAAAATACTTAATTTACTTTAATAAGATAAATTACAACTAATTATTGGTTATAATCATTTCAATAGTTTAATTACATCATAACCATTAAGTGACGTCGTTAAAATTATTCTCGTAACATTCCTGATTAATATAGAAATAAAATCAATAATACAACAAATTCCGACAAGTTTAAGATCTCGAAGGAAATAGGTTTAAATCGTTATAAAAACCGAGACATTTTAACATCAATACTTTTAAACTCTAATACTTAATAATAGTTTAAAAGTAAATTAATTTAGTTGAAATAAAATTATATACGTTAATGCTAGTCGTAAAAAAATGTGATGATTAAAAAATTATTTTATTTTAATATCAAAGAATTTAAATAAGTTAAACGTTTTTAGTACACCGAATTGATTTGTTCCGATATCATATCTACTACTATTAATATTTTTGTTGTTAAATTTTATAAAAACTTCATTAGAAAAATAACTGCTTAAATCTAATAAAACTCACACTGACATATCGAGTAATTAAAAACATGTACAATCGTAAAATAAGAAAATAATATTTAAATAAAATTGTTATGGAACTTATTAAGAGTTCGACCTAAAAATGAATAACATAAAAAAATTGCAATGTATGTAAAATATTTACCGTATGGAAAAGCATTGTGAAAAAGACCAATGACTTGAGCAGCCGTATACATGATGACTGCTTGAAGATGATTGTTACGGGGCAGTGCAAAATAATAACACTCGTATGAGGAACAATTTGAAGATGCGTATTATTTAAGGCCGCAGCGGACGTACTGAGCAGAACGTGCGCACCGTTCGAACGGCAGGTACGGAATGACCGTGTTGGAAGAGAACGAGGCCGTCGACGCCGCACAAGGATCTTTCCACCTCCCGCGGCAAAGGGTCGAAAATCGATCGATGCGGCGGTAGCAGCGGCGCAGGTGGAACGAGTGAGAGTGAGAACCAAGTGGGATTTGGGATCGTCCTCCTGTACGCGGTCGATACGGCGCGAGATAAGTGATACGAGCGCGTATCTATACGTTAGTTTTTTATCATCTATTATCCCTAGAACTCGCAGCCGTAGATACATTATTACTATTATTATTTATGAACACGACATGGGCGGCGGCGCAGCAGAGGCCTCATTTCAGCGGTGGCCGAAATGTATTCGCCACGCGGAGTACGAGGCGAATACGGCCGACACCGTTGCCGCGCAGGTGCACTCATGTAAAATAATACGTGCGTACGGTACACAGGTGGGCGTGTTCGACGGGACGTCGCGCTCAGGTGGGACGTACCGGGGCGAAACGCGCGATTGGTAGTTCACCTGGACGTGTCGAATACATTTTCTCGCGTGCCAACGACATGTATGCGATGGAATAAAAAAATATAAATACACAAACGGAACAACCAAGTGCCAGCCGGGACAACGATAAATGTAAATAATGGATTTTTTTGTGGTATTGGTTCGCGGCGGGTCAATTGGACGTCTCGGCATCATCAGTTCCCGCATCAATTAACCTTTTGCGGGCCATCACGGTTAATTGGCCCAGTCGCCACAACATGTGCGCGTGTGTCGTCGTTTAATATTGAACAATTTACATAATGTACAAATACGACATGTAATTGTGCGCCACCATAGTGAAACAACACACTAATAAGTCTGCGCGCGTTTATAATTATAACGGTACGTACACATGCCACTCACATATATTAATATGCAGAGTATGTTTCCAATGCGCATTGTCGGCCAACACATATTTATATAGTTGTATGTAAGCCGCCGCCGTTGGTAAATGTTTATGGCCCGAGGAAAAAAGTCAAATATCAATTGACCTCCTCCCGGTCGCGGTGGTCAAAAAAATAAAACAGCGCCCGTAGCTACGTACCGAGGGACTCTTTTCAATAAAGAGTTTTTTATTATTATATATTGAAAAAACAGGAGGTCAGCGTGGGCCAATTGCAGCGATACATACACACATAAACGACATTCAAATATGTTATTTTTACATCCACTACTGACGGGCGTGTGCAGCGTACATGTTGGATTATATTTGAACTGTGCACTGTACACATCATTGGAACGCGTCAACGAATAATTAAGATGTATTGTTACTAATAAGCTTTTTATGAAATTGTCACATAAATATTTACGTGGACGATAAGCAGTGTGAATTTCACAGACAGTCCTATCGAGTAGCTACACTTTATGTGCAAACCTAGTTGAAACGGAACGATTTTTTGTTTTAAAAAAAATTCCCATGTTACATCATGTTAAATGACAATAGGTGACAATAATTAACACCACAATGATTTATGTAAATGATTTGTGATACAAGTTTCGAGTACTCCAACTACAAACGATAACTAGTTAATTAACAAAGAATAATATAAATCCAATAAATAATCAAATGACATATGGCTTTAGTATTCGATTACACTATGCGTGTGGAGACTGTTAAGTCGTTAGAAGATTATCTGTAAACATATAAAGTTCAATTAAATTAATATTAGATTGTGCCATCGGTCATCGCAATAATAACAAAAAGGTGAATATGTATACATTGTATGCGTTTATACAGTTTACCAAGAACCGATACGATAATGTTGAGTACACTCTTATTTTTAATTGATTCAATCGTCCAAGTTTTCCATAGTTCTCGTAGATATAATCGATACAAAAGGCAATTGCGTGGAAAAGAGGTTAAGACCTCCGATGGCAGAAACATGTTGCTCGTCATTGAGCGATGAACATAAAAAATTAACATTGTGAATACAAAACGATTGCATTATTCTTTTAAGACAATCAGTTCATAATTTTTTTGGTAAAAACGATATCCCGTATCTTTTAATAACATGTAATTGTGTGTCTTTCCGACATGCGAATTACACTAATATCAAAATGAATTTGTACACAAATTTCAAAAAGAAAATAGTAAATAAACATAATTATTTGGCCTAAGTATTTGAGTATTAAGTTTTTTTCACATTGATACAAACACATACGAATGTATATTTATATATTTGTAAGTATGTGTACACACGTTGAACAACACTCACCAATGACTAACGATTTATTCGATAAAAATAAACGTAAATGTAAATTATTGGTTGAGTAAAAAGTAAATGTTAATGTATTTATGAATTTACATTTGTATTATAACGAGTGGAGTAAAAGTAGACAATATTTGATAACATCTGCTTAAATAAAGTTCACTAATTGAAAAAAATTATAAAACATTTGATATAAATTTTTTACTTAAATTACACTGCATGTTTGTTTATACTCATTCAAAGGATTTATTGGTAACATAAACAGTTTAATATTTCCTTGATAATAGATAATAATACTATTTTAAATGGGAACTACTCATAATTTGTAGTAGGTGTGCTCAATAACACTTAATAATTTATTATATATTAAAATAGAAAACATCAAACCCCAAATTTCAAAAATAATTTTTTATTTACTCGTATTTTATGTTTTTTCTATAAAACTCCATACTATTTTTTATTCAGCTTCTTAAAATCATAAAATATATGGTATGTTCTTTAGCCGCTAATTTTTACTTTGGAGAGACAATAATTAGTTTAAAATAATTCTGAATGAACAAAACAACATAAAAATTTATTTAACGCGAAATATTAAGTTAGAAACATTTTATTTCTACATAATTCTATAGAAATTAAAATCACAGTTTTAATTTTAACAAGACTTCAACCCCTTTAAAACAGAAATTAATAATGCTCAGACACTATAAAAACCACAAAAT